ATAGGGAGATTGAGCGGGTCCTGATGAAAAGTGTATAGTACTCAAGGAGATGCACAGGGAAAAAAGGTCATCCTCATCATCTTCATCATTCCCACTTGCTATGCTGAAGAGACCCTCGCAGTGGAGAATGCTTGTCCAGGATCCTCATCGCTGCTCTTCCTGGCTGGCTATGGTGGAGTTTTCCTGTTTCCTTCTTTCTTCTCTCTCTCTCTTTTGTTTTTATTTTCTGCCAGAAGTCTCTTTCATTGTTAAAGCCAGTGTATGCTACCAGCTGCAGACCCCACTAATAAATCTTCTTGCATATGAACTTGTCTCAACATCCTCTGTGAGACATCAGACATCTGGAGTCCAGGAAAGACTGTCAGATGTTTTCTCAGATCTGTTTGGTTGTTTGCCTAACAACAAATGGGGCAGACCCAGTGACTGGTTTCTCGGATGTGGTAGATACTTCCCCTTAGTGGGACGCTGCTACAGGATGCCAGGGTGTGGTATTCATCCCATTCCATCAATATGGTCTAATTCATCGCAAGTTTAGACTTGGTGGAAATAATTTGTTTTACAAGTATGAAAAACTAAATGCTTGGTAGGCTTATGGTAACCTAGCTCTGATCTTCCTAAACTAAGAAAAATACACTGCAGTGAAACTGCATGTTACTTCACATTAACTAAGCTAGCCTAAACCAGCATGGCCGCTAACAGCAGCACTCTCAAGCCACCTTATTCCTTATGCCAGCAAAGCATCTGTATAATCACAGAAAAGTGGAAAACTAACCCTAAGAAATAAAACACCTAGTTAACCCCAGTCAGTTCCCCTGCCTGGTTCATTGGGGGAAGGTATTAGAAGTCCACAAGCTACACAGGGATGAAAGGCAGCATTAGAAGAAATCACTGATACACAAAGATGAACTCCCATTCATCTTGTGATACATGTATGCAGTGAACATATGCTCACACTGTACATCTTGAACCCATAAGACAAAAGAGGTAATAAGCTGAAAGAAAAAAAAAAAAAAAAAAAAAAAAAAAAAAAAAAGGGCAGCAATCACTTTAGATGGAGAGACTTAATTCATCCTATAAAGCTAGAATTTCCCAAATTTTGAACAAACTCAAAAGGAAATGAGTGGATTTCAGAAATCAAACTATACACAAGATATATGAGCCATTCAGTTTCAGCACAGGAAAACTACAGAGCCACAGCAAAATGCTATCAGCATGTGTTGCCACCTTCTTCTGGTGTAGCTGTTCAGCTGGTAGCCCCATAGCTCCTCTAGCTATTGCCAGGCTGTCTCGGTTCCTGAACTGCTGTCTGCTGTTCCTGGCATGGTTCAGTGTGTTTAAGCTTATGCATCGCCAGTATCTAGGTCTAACACCTGGTTGCTTCCCTAACAAAGTAATTTTTCACTCCTCATCCTCCCCTGTCCTTGTCCTTGCCACCAACACTGCAACTCTGACTACTCAAAGAGCTGTAGTCCCTCAGCTCAGGGTTCTATTCCATGGGGTGATGAAGAACGGGAATGAATACTCTTTTTGGATGCAGCCTGGGGACAACCTTAAGGTATGCATTGCTCTTGAAAGTGCAGCTTCACCCCTTCTTCAAGAGATCTCCTTTTTCTTGGCACTTGTTTTCCTCTGTCAGCACGTTGGATCTGGATCGCATTAGGACTTGTGACTTAGAGCAAGCAGCATTGCTATCTTTGCAGGATTTAATTTAGTAGATACTTTTACAGTTCTCCAAATAAAGAAGAACCACGATATAGGTTGATGGGTATCACAAGTGTTGCATTGTTAATTCTGCACCCGTGAGATCACCTTGCACAGCCCTTGCTTCCAGTTGCCACTGAGAATTGCTAACAAATATCAGTCCCAAAGGAAAATGGACTTTCTTAGCATTCATCCTGCTCTTTCGTTTTCTGAGATGCATATTTTTACCTAGTAGTAACTCCATTCCATTTTCACTACTTCTGTCTCTTTCTCGGACAAGGTGTCTGATGGTTAAAGATGTCTCAGTTAGCCTGTCTGAAGCTTCTTAGGTCATCCTCAAGATGCTGATGGTACTCGCTAGACAACACTCCTCAGCCGAGGACTGTTACTTCCTTACTTTGATTTGGTTGTTTCTAGGGGATTCTACAAAAGACCAGTCCCTGTAAACATTGCAGTCCCTCCTTGAACAACTGGGTCTTAAAGCAAATGTTCTGAAGTAAAAAACTTGACTTATTTTCACAGAACAGTTACCAAGATGGTAAGAGTTCTCCTTTTGCAGGATCCAGGATACTTTATCCTTAACTCAGGGCTTCACCTCTTAGGCAACTACCTTATGAAAGCGCCTCTCTCCTAGGGCATGTGGCAACTCTGATACCCCATACTGATCTTTTCTGTACTTCATGTATGTTATTTGCTCTGCACCTTTGCTACAAGCAGGGAGACATTCCTCAAAATGCAAGGAGGTACTTCATGTGGTGGCAGCCACGTCTCCAGGGGCATACCCTTTATGTTCCCTCCGTCTTGACAAGTAGAGATACCAGTATATTCTAAAATACCATGTGATTTCATTGCACCGCAGTTGCATTTTCATAAGGAGCAGCAGCGATGTGCCAGTGCTCTGGAGATCTGATACATTTGGAGGACAGGGCTTTCCTGCTTTGCTTACGAGCGATGACAGTATAATATGGTTTAGGAGAGATCCTCTGTTCCCTCAAGGCAGCAGTTGTCCTAAGCGATCAGTGTGGGGAGAGCAGGACTTTCTGAAGTTCACACGTGTCAGTCCTCCTGCTCTGATAGATGAGCTGTATTGCAGTCCTCAGCGAGAAGTGGGAAATTTGCTCTGGTGGCCATGTGAATTTTTTGAAAGGTTGCACAGCTGACACAGAAAGTACTGATGCTTCTTTTTGAGAGAAAGTTTGCGTCCAGGCTTGGTCTTGGGCGCAACCCTGAGACTGACCAAGTGGACTGGTGTGTGCATTTCTCCAGATAGCTGTGCTGCCAAGCACGCTGGTTAGAACAAGGCAGGGCAACATTCTGTTGGCTCTCACCATCCCTGTGCATTTTGGTACTGGGCCTTCTCTGCCTTTCAGTGACTTCTTCAGTTCCCTCAGTCTCACCTGTGTAACAGTTTGTCTGTCTCACTCATCTCAATCTTGCAATAATCCACTTCATGCTACAGATGCTGAATGGCTCTCCATTAGACTATTCCTTTTCCAAGCCAGTTTGAGCCAATTTTTTTAACCAGTGAGGAGGAGATGACTGATTATATGTATCTTGCCAAAGCAGTCAGGCTTTCTGCTTAGTATGCCCTTCTGTTGCCTGGGCTTGTAGTCTGGGCTGAGCGGGGGAAGAAGTTCAGCTTCTCTATTGGCTCTCTTGCCATTCATTTTGGGTGATCATATGCTCATAAGTAAGATCTGTGGATGGAGGGTGGAGAATTTAGGCTTTTGTTACCCATTTCAGCTTTTCATTGAAGTTTCCTCCTGCTGAGGAAATGGTTCTCCAGAAGGGTTTAAATGTAGTAACACAGGTTCTCATGAGTCATTGAACTGTTATGTCTTTCTTCCCCGCCCCGCCCCTTTTCCGTCTCAAAATTACTTTCTTTCTTTACTGTTATTTTTGCTGTAAGTGTGGGTTAAATTCAAGCCGTTATGCTTGATTTTTCTTGTGCTTCATCAAAGATTCTGTTGCCTGGACACATTTGAAATTTTTTTTCCAAAGCTGGTATTTAAATTTCACCGTAACCAGATGATTAATGTTCTTCCAGACTGAACATCTCCATGGTTAATTGTGTGATTCTGCAGACACTGAGGGAGGGAGGATGAGGTTAAGGGGAAAGCAAAATGGCACCGGCTGCGCTGCCCCTTGTGCACAAGCTGAGCATGAAGAGGGGAGGGGTGTAAGCACACCATCCACAGATACAGTAAAGGGTGAGGACAGACTTTGACTTAAGTGAACTTTATTTCTTTAAGCGAACTTCCTTGCGCAGACAGAAAGTTCTCTCACTTTAAGAAAGTACGTGGGCATACGTACTCCCACAATGGGAATATACATATGGACTGCATTCCTTCAAGAACCCTGTTTACTGGTAATCCATTTTCTGTTTTGCTTTTCACATATGTCACGTAGTCAAATGGTGCTCAGGGAGCTCTTCTTTAACTGCTGGTTTGAATCAACGGGTACCTCATGATTTCGCTAGCCTCTGCTCCCTTAAAGAACAAGGCAGGATGCTCTTTCACATGGAGCGTTTCAGCATGGAAGAAACCCAGCCTGAGGGGGGACCATGCAATTTAAGTGTTTTATGGCAATTATGCTGTGCCTATCCTAAACTGTAGTCTGGATTGCAGAGACCCATTTCCTAGGACAAATTATTCAAACTGTTCCCATGTTTGACATTGTTAATGGATTGATGCTGCTTAATTTGTCCCCAAACTTAGATTTGACTTCTAATAAGCGGTTTGCTGATGCTTTTTTATTTGTAGCACAGGAGTTAAAAGTGGGGGAGGACTGTTTGCATCAGGACAGATTTTTTCCAGAAAGCACAGCGCTGAGCTTTGAATTGTCTTCAAAGCTGGCTCAGTTCTCAAGACATGCTTTGCTTTCTTTGTTAGATGTCTCTTTTTCTGAGCTGTGACAAACAAAGGGAGGGAACAAATTTTTGTAAGAGAGTCCTATCGCTTCACCTCTGGACTGCAGTTTCTCCTGAGGATCCTTTGGGGATTTACAGCTTGATGGACCTAAACAATTGGAATGCACAGTCTCTCATACCATGTATTCTCTCTCCTTTTTTACAACAAAGAAGAAAGTTTGGCTCGAAATCCAGTTTTCTTTTTCCCTATGGTAAAGAGGGGCAAAATGAAATCACTAGCTTAGAGTCTGGTTTGGGTTTTTTTGGGGTTTTTTTTTTTTAAAAAGTCATGCAAGCAGTGTAGCAATTCTTGTGCTACGGTATCCTGGCTTCCTAATGAATGGCTTTCTAATGATGATTGTGGATTTGCCCTCTGATTCATAGGTGAGATGGCACAGTGTGAAGCACTTGAGTCCAGAACACTTGATTCAGATCCACGTTCTTTGTGTCACAGAATACAATAGCAATGCTGCTTTTATTTCTACCACATACAACTCTTCTGAGTGTTTGAATCCCCTCATTGTCAGTATGTAGGACTTAATTTTGTCTGAGCTGTTCAGTCTTTTGCTTTGGCAGGTGTTTTGCAGACCTGCAAAAGCTTGCAGGATCATTTCTCATCAAAGATAATATATCGGTTGTATAATTGGAACATGCAGGCTTCAGGTTCTCTAAACCTGTGCTAAAATGGAACATGAGGCCCAGCCAGCTAATGAACAGAATGAATATATTGAACACAGAAACCCTGCAGCTCCTATGGAAACGTGCCAGGGAACACTGGGTACTCTGTTTTTAAACACATGTATGCATACATACTGTGCGGTTTTTGTTTCTTCACATTTTTCTCTTCAGCTTTGCTGTATTTCTGAGGCTTTACTGTACAGCCAGTCTCAACCTCCAGGCAGGTCTAATGATCCAGCCAGTCCAGTCCTCTTCTGCTCCACACTTGCATCGGTTTATTGCAGAATATGCTGTCTATCTCTCTTATTGGAGGGTTGTTTCTTGTTCAGTGTCATGATATCAGTGATTAAACTGCCATGAAGTTTTTCTTTCTCTTCCATTTAGGAACAAGCTAAAGCCAAAAAACAAACTCCACCACCATCTCCTACCACGCAGCCGGCTGAGCAGAAGGCACCCTCAAGCCCAGTCTACGAGGTTTGTTAGAATCACTTTCAGTACATGGGTTTTGATCCTAAGCATAGGAACCTTGTTACAAAACCTGACGAACCTCACCTGTATTTCTGCAGGATGCAGTTTCCTATGAAGCTGAGTCTGCCTACAAGAATTCCAGCACAACATATGCAGCTGCGCGCGAGCCGGAGTCTGGCTACAAAGCTGCAGAGTCGGACTACCAAGAAGCAGTGAGTCAGCGAGAGGCAGAATATGAACCAGAGACTGTCTATGAAGTGGCAGGGGCAGGAGACCATTACCAAGCAGGTAGAGTGTTTGTTTCTGATACGAAACCCTTTAAGATAAAGATTTCCTTGGGCAACAACTTAATGAATAGTTGTGCTGATAGCACACTGTCCTAGTTTTCTAAAGTCTTAGTCTGGTGGGACTTTTTAGATTCTCCACCAACAAACTTTAATTAGGAAATTCAGATATGGCTAGAGCAAGGTTGAAATTACTTAACTTTTGTGAGATGATGTTGGAATAATTACAGTGCTCTCTAGAGTGCCAGTTCAAAAGGAAATGTAGGGGTAACTATTTCCACCCCGTGTAATGCAGCTCAATTTGAGATGAAAGCACAGATGTGGAGATTAAATGTGCTTGGAGCCAGTGCTGGCCTAGCAAGCAAAAAAATTCTGTCAACAGTTCTTTGACTACAAATTTCATGTGATGTGTTCTGTGCCTATGAGGGAGTGGAGTAAGGATGCCTGAAACTATTGAAACTGAAAGAATACCGTTCTTTTGAATTCCCATTTTTTCCATCTCTTCTGGTTACTAAATGAGGGGTGAAGAATGAACCTGCTTGCTCTGGTACAGAAACCTGGAAATTTTAAACAGGCCCCTTCCTCTCCCACAAGATGCACCCTTAACAAGGTGTTAAATAGTTTCATACACGCTGATCTTGGGCCTCAGTTGTTCTGTCACATTTTACAAAAGTGTTATAAGGCTGATTGTTTTTACTTTATACTGTATTAAATGCCTACTTGTGAACGCTTCCTTTCAGGCTTTAATTCTGTGCGATTTTAGGGAAATACCCGTTTCGGAAGGTATGTCAGTGCTGCTAAAAACTTGCATAGTTTGTTCCCTGCTTCCTGTGTGAGTTAGCAGTAGAATTAAAGGAGGAGCACCATAGAAAATAACTCGGGGTGATAGGTAGTGTGCTTCTTGCTTTTAATTTGTTTCTTCTTTCTGTCTCTCTCTTTAGAAGAAAATGCTTATGACGAATATGAAAATGAACTTGGAATTACAGCCATAGCCCTTTATGATTATCAAGCTGGTAAGCAAAGCCCTTGTTTTAACCCTGTCTTTGAAAACTCTGTTCTGCACAGATAAGTCTGGATTTTTCCTTTGCCTTTCGTCTTGTAGTAATATATGAAATTAAGATATGAAGAATTAGGAATTTAGTGACGAAAAATTAGTAATTTATTGACTTAGCAATAGCATTGAGTTGCTTTTGAAAGCTACTAGCCACTGTTTCTGGAAAAGGTGGGAGTTTTCAAAATATTTTTTAACCAAATGTTAACGCTCTTGTTAAACCCTTGGCATACGTAGTTGTTTAAAATCTTGACTGCTTAATTCTGAGGAGGGATCAAGAACGTAAAGTGGTTCTCAGTGTGCTAGGTAGCAGTTGTTGCTCTGAGCTAGAAATGCACGCAAAAGGCAGGAGCGAAGAACCGACTACCTCATCACTCCAGAGGATGAGAAAGCGTCTGCCTTTACAGATTGTCGTTGCCCGCTGCCCTGTCTCACACACTCCGATGGGAGAGCGGAAGGTGATGGGTGTCTGTGTTATTTTTAGTGATGTGGTGGGTTGATAGGTGAGACTGTAGTGCGGACTGCTCCTGTGTGAATACTGAGCCTCTTCAACTCTCTCTCCAGCGGGTGATGACGAGATTTCCTTTGACCCAGATGACATCATCACAAACATAGAAATGATTGATGACGGCTGGTGGAGGGGTGTCTGCAAAGGCCGATACGGGTTGTTCCCCGCGAATTATGTGGAGCTGAGACAATAAAGACTATTGTCTACTGGTTATGCCTTAATTCCCCAGTCAATAAATCTGACTTAATACACTACAAATCATGATGCTTTTCTGAGGATGGAGGGGTATATACATATTGCTTTTATATTTAATACTTTGCTGATGCTTTTTAAAATGTTTATGCCACAGAAATAGCTAATATATTGTAACTCCTATGTTCTTCACTAAGGCTCTTAAAATGATTTTCATGCATTTGGAAACATTTCTTCTCTGCCAAATTAGCAATTGTCATAAAAAGCCTTTTCGAGGACAATTAGCTGTCTGTCGTAATATTGCATGTTTTACTCATAAGTGAGCAGATTTACTTAGTGTTTAAGTCTAGTTAGTCTTCCACTAAATGTTTTCAGCTGAGAAAATCATGGCTATGCAGGTTATTTGCATTTCCACTAAGCGGGAGTGGGGAGGACTGGGGAGGTGCGTAATTTTTTCTTTTCTTTTCCAGATAGTGTGTGAAAAAGCAAAGAGAATGCTTGATAGTTGCAGCTAATGGCAATTAATCAAATACTGTCCAGTATTTATGGAATATTAATGTTATGAAGGAAACAGTCTGGTTACTTTTTCCTTCTCTTTTAAAGTGAAGTTCCTTGGCTCTTGCATTGATTCCTCCTCCCCCCCCCAATCCTGCTCCTCCTGTCCATGTTATCCCAGAGGAGGGCTGCAAACACTCTAGCACTGATTGTCCCGAATTTCTTTACTTCTTGTTTTTGTTTCACCCTCCTCTTTCCCAGGAAAACTTGAAAAATTTACTACACGAGTGTTGAGTCACTCAATGAGATTCCTACTTGTTCAAAGGGAAATGCATCCAAATCCGTGTGACTACCCGCAGGAAAAGTCTCATTGCTTTAAACGGGAGAAGAAAGGCAGGCTGGAATTGCAGTTGTGTCCTGTGTGCAATACATCCTTTGTTCATACAAGGGATGGCCTGCTGTGCGGTAATGGCATTTTATGTAACCATATCTGAGTCAAGGAATGTTAATATAAGTAATTAGATTTAAAACCCATATAAACGGTCTTCATTTTTAAACCATCTGAGAGACAGCTATACTGTTTGTATATTCAACAGAAACTGCCGGTAATGTTCTGCCGAACAACAAGATTAAACCTGTTCTTTGCCAAAACTAAAACTGAAATTCCTGTCGTTCTAGAAAGCTGACTCGACTGCAGATTTAGCGTCCCTACCAAAGATAGCAAGTTGCATCCTATAGTGCACATGTTCAATGTACGTACTGTCTGTTTCCACCTTCTGATCGAAATGGGAATGGCAGAACTGGTGTAGTAGCTAAGAAAGAATGCAAAGAATTTTTATAAACTGTAAATTTGGACCAATGGAATATAGAAGACCTGTATAAAATGGTGAAATGTGTAATGTATCTACGAAGAGGGCATCATGTTGAACCAATTCTTGGATGGTTGGGACAATCCTTAATGAATGTTGTATGTGTGTCATGATTATATATTTTTTTTTTTCCTTTCCATGATCTCATTTCTGTGTTGTATTTGCATTACTAGGGTTGGGTTTTATATGCAGTTTATTTTATCCAATTTTGCATAGAACACCTCATAGGGATATGATTTTTGTAAATTAAATATTCAATAAACTTTTTGAACCATTTGCATGGAATATTTTTGCATTTTTAAATTGCTTTCTCAGTCTTTTTTCATCTTGTCTCAAGCTTATCTGGGACCAGCTTGCATACAACAAATCGTTCTTCCTCCGGTGAGCTGCTGCATGATGCTCGGTGCTGTTGTGAAGGGCACGTACATTCTTCTAGGTTGTTGCCACTGCCTTCCACATACTTCCCTGCCTGGGAAACTCACTTGCTTTTGTCTTTTACTCCTACATGGAAATACTTGCATCAAAATTAGACTTTGGGTCCACTTAAAGGAGAGATGGTTTTTTAAAATATTTTTTTTTAGACATCTTAGCATCAGGATCTGTTTTGTCTCATGTGCCTGTTACTTCTGCTGAAAATACCAGTGAGCTGTGGTTTTGGTGAGAAGAGTTGCTCCTGGGAGTGCTCTTGGGATCCTTAGGCCAGGTGCTTCCCAAAGCTTTGCTCCTCTAAGCCTCGGCTGCAGAAAGCCATCCCTGCCTTGCTGCCTAAGCAAGCCAATATTTTACAGTTTACAATCCTGAACTTTTCAGAGAATCTGATACTTGATGATGCACTGCTGGAACTGCTAAGAAATAAAATCCTAACATCCCTTTTCTAATTATTCTTTAATGCTACTATATTAACAGGAAAGCCAAAGCTTCAGAGCTCGCTGCCTAAAATACCATGCAGTGAGTGAGAGCCGTTGCTTTAGCTGGTAACTTAAAGACCTGCGACTTGAGAAGAAAACGTGCGTGTCCAGGTAGGCTTTCTGCACTGGAGGGGGTGCAGGGTGGGGTTATTGAAGCTTTATGCTCCTAAAGGCAGATCTGAGGGTGCTAGTGCAGGTGATGAGCCCGTGGGTAGGAGACAGCAGCCCCTGAGCCCTCCCGGGGCTTGATGGGGTGGGCAGGGCCGGAGGGGGAGCAGGAGCAGTTAGGATGGTTGCACTAAGGCCTTTTGATGGGGCTTTTTTTTGGGTGAAGGCTGCAAGGTTTGAGGATGGGGCAGCTGCTGCCAGAGCTGCTGAAAGGAATACAAGACCCCCGAGGAGGTTGCTACAGCTCCCTGCCTGGCAAGAAATGAGCTTCCAGCAGGGAGGCGAAAGCTCAGAGGGAAAGAAGAAATGGCACCGTGCAGGAATTTGCTGCAGGTAACCTTCATAAGCAGCACAGTAGGGAAAATACCGCAGTCCTGCAGCCATGGCCTGTGCCAGAGAGTAAGATGGGGAGGAACTGAGTTGCTGGAAGAACAAATGAGGTGATCAGCAATATTGTGGGTATTAAGTCAGTCATGGGAGTTTATCCATGGATTGCCTCACCCGATGGAGAAAGTTCCATCTCTCAACTATAATCTCACTAGCACAGCATAGCAAGATTTTCTATAGCAGATTGATTTAATATCTTGTCAAGTATATTTATGACTGTACTATTGCTACTATGAGATTAGATGTAGTCAAGTCTTGAAGTTTTAAGATCACTCTTATTCATCAGCAGTAATTGCTCAAGTTATCCAAAACATTTGCTGCTGGAAAAAACCACCCCAAACACTGCATTTACCATCAGAAGGCCTGGCTCAGTGCTCCTTATGGGTCACCAGTGTGAGCCGCAAGCAAGCCCGTTAATTTCTGTTAATGGACGTCTTTCTGCCTCACTGGCTGACTTTGGGTGAACCATTTACTTTCCTGGCACCTTGAATTCATGATTTTGCTTCTTAATGCAATTCCTAATCTGTCGCTCCTAAGCACACTGGGGCTTCAGCTGACCGAAGGCAGCAGCAGCAGCAGCACTGATTTTATCTAATCAGTTGATGATTTTACACTTCTGAGTGTCATTCTTCTAAACTAATTATAATTAAGACTATGAACACTCAAAGTATTTATATATATAAATATTCTATAGTATTTTATAATAATATTTCATTTGTCTATTTCTGTAATAATTGCTAGCAAGAATAGTGGGAGAAGGACAGTTTGAAAAGCGGTTATGTGGGAGGCAGGGAAATTCTCACAGACACGAGGTACCCTCGGCCCTCCCGCATTGCCACGCTGGTGCAGCAGGAACTGCAGCTGCATTAAATTCCCCCAGCGTAACTCTCCAGCACCAGAGCACTGGTGGCTGTGGCTAGAGCAGACGGACAGCTTCATGTCACACAAACTGGTTCTATTTCCCTACTTGCCTATGTTTTTTAGTCCCACTCTGCCTGAGGATCTTCTCATGTTAGTGGTAGGTAGCAAAGAAGTGCCGCCTTTTTACTTACCAAATTGTCGTAATTAAATCTGCCTTTCCTGCCAGTTTGGCAGCATCTTTGCTCTCACGGAGAAGGAGCTGTTGGCTAATGCAGAGAGGCCAGCCAGCACCTCTCTTACGCTGATAGAGTTGCCCAACCCATCGAGCAGGTCGCGTAGAGGCTGGCTGAGTAACGACGGTGACGAGCGGGCAGGGTTAGCATCTCAAGAGGCTTTTTAAGAGCCTGGCAGAGCTTTACCAATGCATTTCTCGGATGCATTTTATCAAACCTCTCCTTAAGCTGCCGCTTTATTTTTAGTCTGCACAGATGGCAGGCTTAAGAGGATGGTGAAGAATGCGCCTGCATCCAGTTTATTTTATATAAAGCCTTGAAGCTGTGGAGTGCTTTTCTAGGTTTTTATGTGCAATGGGCCATTACCAACTTGTTAATTTTGCCTAGATTTTCAGTAGTGAGAATCAATCTAACAGTTTTTTGACTTTTAACCAAGGAAGGGGAGCAGGAGGCAGGGGGAATTACAAAGTGAAGCCCAGGGAAGTTCCTCTGCAGGGGTGGTTTGGCTTAGATAAAATGCACACCAGCAAAATTTTATATTGCATGTGGTCTGCGTGTCTTCTGCAGTTTTTCCTGAACCTGGAAGGTTGACTGTCGCAATCAGCTCAGGATATTCTAGCTTTTAAGTCCCTTTTCTATCAAGCAGAGCAAACGCTAGTTACCAAGGATATTCCACTGAAGCGCCTACTTTCAGATGAGTGCTTTTGCAAATGCCGACTTAAAGCCACCTATGATTTTCTGAGAGACTTCAGCCTATCACAGGAGCTTTCGAAGTGCAACCCACAGATGGGTAATGCCCAACCAGCAAGTTAATTCCTTGTGGTATGAAGTTCAAGAACTGCTGCCATCTCATGTAGTCAGTATTCACCTTGCCACAGGCTTTCTACATTATACTGGGATGTGGAGCCTTCAAGATTCAGGCTGCAATAATATAGGCAAGTTATTGCATGCTTGTCCATATCTGATGTCAACAGGATACTAAATTTGAAGAAGCTTCCTCAAATTCTCCTCGCATTGCGCACACTGCTTCTACCGTGATTTACAGAAGCTGCCATAAAGTTCGTTGGTGAAAGGGAACTTGATATATTAGTCCATGAAAAGAGGAAAGGAACAAAAATCGATCTCAGCTGTGCAGTGCTGAGTGTACAGAGTACTGCCTTGGATGGCTTCCAAAAAGGGAATTTGAATGGATCAAAATAGCTTCACTT